CTTGGGGGGAGAGAGGTGGCAGGCTCTCTCCTGGCTAGATCTTGCTGTCCAGACTCCAGAGTGGGTGGGCACAGAGGTTGTGTGTGTTCATGGCCTGTAGCCGGGCGGGCCCAAGGGCCAGCTGTTGGTCGGGGGTGGGGAGATTCCTCCCGGGCCTTGCGTGGGGCGGGCTGCTCTCTCTCGGAGCAGGTCTCCTTGGGAAGCAATGGCCGGGGGTGCCCTGCCCTGCCCTGCCCCACCCCGGGAGCCAACCGTCTTGTCCGTGGGTTTCCACAGGGCCTGTACGAGGGGGGGGGGTTGGCTGAGCGGGAAGTGGGGGAAGTGGGGTGGCATCATGTAGCCCCGTCTCGTCAGATCTGGGAAGCGAGGCAGGGCCGGCCCTTGGATGGGAGACCACCATGGAAGGCTCTGCAGAGGGAGGCAGACCCCCTCTGCTTACTCTCTTGCCCGGGAAGCCCCTGGATGGGTTTGCCAGAGGTGGGCTGGGGCTCCATGATGGCCCTTTGCAGGCACCAGCGGGGAGGGGAGGGGAGCCCTGGGGGGGGGGAGACAGAGTCTCCCGAGAGGTGCTGTGGTGGGGCAGGGGGGTGCCTGTCCTTTGACACAGGGAGCGGGCAAGAGGACAGCCCTGTAGCTAAGGAGTTTTAGGGGAGGGGCCGGGGGCCCACCAGCCAATTAAGTCAAAGTTAATTAAATTAACTTTGATTTAATTGGTGGAATCCCTAAGGCAGCCCCGGCTGCAACCGAAGGGGGAGGAAACTCTAAATGAGCCCCCCCCCCGGGTCCCGGCTGATTCAGATCTGTTGGGGGGGAGAGGCGAGAGGGAAAGGGCTGGGGGGCGGACCGCAGTGCCCCCAAGGAGCCCCCAAGGCGTCCAGCTCCGGCAAAGGGGCTGGGGAGTGGGCGGGGGGGGAGTAAACTCCCAGTCTGGTCCAGCAGAGCGGCCTGGCTTGCTCCGTGGATCGGATCGGGTGCGATCTCTCTCTTTTTATCATGGCCTGGGCGGGGGGGGGCACTCCTGCTTAGAAGGGTGTTAGGGTTGGCCATGGAGGGCCCCCCCGTAAAAAACATGGGGGGAGAGCAGGCCCCGTGGGCCCCACGTTAGCTACGGGCCTGCACGAGGAGGAGGTGCCCTGAGAGGCAGGAACCCTCGATCCACGGTGGGGGGGGGAGGCCGCTGAGCGGCTCCGGCAGCGGTGTGCTGCCGCAAGTGGAGGAAAGGGCCCTGCCAGGGGTCGGAGGGGGGGGGGCCTTCTGCAAGTGCGGGTTCCAGAGAAGCCGATGCAACGGAGTGGAGTGGGAGGCTCCTCTCGCTGCAGGGAAGCTTTGGGAGGAAGAGCTCTCGCAGGGCAGGGCATCAGCCATCCCCCTTCCCTGCTTATTACCCCCCCCTTCTCCCTTGCGGGACCCCAGGCAGATTCCAGCCGAGGAGAGGCCATGCTGGTGGGGGAGGTGGGTGTGCTTGAGGGCCCCCCCCCGCCACTCCCTGGGGGCGAGAGGGAAAATGCCCCATGAAATCCTGCACGGGGGGGGGCTGCTCTGGGGCACTCCTTCATGAAAGGGCATGTCCCGCGTGGGGTGGGTCCCTGTGTGGACGTGGCTGGCCAAAGGGACTCCCACGTCTCTTGCCTGGGCACAGATCGAGGGGGGGAGCAGGGTGGGAGGTGCTTGGGGGGGGGGTGGGCAAGGCCCCCCTTTGGGGAAGGGACAGTAGCCTATCGGGGGGAGAGATCTGGGGGCTGCAGCCCCACTCCCCGCAACAGCCTTTACAGCCAAAGGATCCGGGCAGCACGCCAAGCGGCCCCCTCCCGAGGAGGCCCTGGAGCGCGGCTGCCAGTCTGGGTCCACGGGGCGATGCCAAGGTGACCGTGGGGTTGTGGCTCTGGGGGAGGGTGGGCCCGGTGCTGGAGGCCGCCTCCTGCTTCTCAACAGATCTGCCTCCCCCTCCCCCAGCCTCGCCCGAGTTGTGCTCTCCCCCCGCCCCCGGCCCCCCTCTTGTCAAATTGAACATGATGTCAAATTAGACCCATCCCCGGGACGCTGGGGGAGCGGAGCACCCTCTTTAATGAGCCAGCCTCGGGAATCAATACCTTAATTGCAGCCATCGGAGGGCCTTTCATCCAATTTATTCTGCTCCTGCCCGGCTACGTGTGCTGCATGAGGCCGCGCCGGGGGCTGCGGGGAGGGCGCCGGGCCCCCTTGGCAGGCCCTCTGGGAGCTCCCTGGGAGGGGGGCATCGCTGGCCGGAGCCCGTGGGGGTGGGCATGGGCAGGTGGGGCTCCAGGGGGGCCGCTCACGCTCTCCGCTCCGTCTCCCCCCAGGCACATCTGTCATGCAAGTGATGGCCTCCGACGCGGACGACCCCACCTACGGAAGCAGCGCCCGGGTGGTCTACAGTGTGCTGGAGGGGGAACGGCACTTCACCGTGGACAGCCAGACAGGTGAGTGCCCCTCGGGGGCCCTGCGGAGCGGGCAGGCCTGCCAGGGAGGCGGGACCCTGGACGTGTCCCTGTGTCTGCGTGTCTGTGCTCACCTGCCGCTCTCTCTGGAGCAGAGCGAGAGCCAGTTTGGTGTTGTGATTAAGAGCGCAGAGGACTCTAATCTGGGAGGACGGGGTTTGACTCCCCCACTCCTCCGCCTCCACTTGCACCTGGCTGGATGACCTTGGGCAAGCCGTAGTTCTGACAAGAGCTGTCCTTGGAAAAAAAAGAGCCGTTTCTGTCAAGAGCTCTCTCAGCCCCACCTCCCTCCCAGGGTGTCTGTCTGTTGTGGGGAGGGGAAGGGGAAGGAGTTTGTGAGCTGCTCTGAGACTCCCCTGGGTAGTGAAGGGCCGTCGGGTATAAATCCCATCTCTTCTTCTTCTTCTTCTTCCGAGACTTCCCCTGTAGACGCCCTGGAAAGCAGGCGCAGCACGGAGGGAGCCTGGGATCGGGCCCACAGGACCGGGGTGGCGGGGGGATTGCCCTCCGTGCTCTTCCCCCACTGTGGCAAGTGCCCCCCGGCTGGTTCAAGAGCGGGCTTTCCCCCCTCTGCTGGGGCTTAATAGGATGGGGAGGAGAAGAACGTTTTTGTTTATTTGATTAAAGTCTCAGTGACTCACCTGGAGTCTAGAACAAAAGCTTGAGTCCTGTGGGGGACCTCTACGACCGACAGAGTTTAATGCTGGGTGCTTTCATGCGCACACAAATTAAACTTGGTTGGTCTTAGAGGGGCCACTGGACTCAAATTTTGTTCTATGGCTTCAGAGCAACGCGGCCACCCACCTGAATCTGTCTTCACCTGGAGCTGCGACAGGAAAGGCGGGCTGTCATGGAAGGGAGCGATGAAAAATGGCGGACCCGGCGGGCTTCTCCCCGCAGATACGCCTCCAGGCATCTGCCACGCGGCCTCAAACACTCAGCAGTTAGCAACGATCCACCACCAGCCGAGCCCCAGACCGAGAGTTCCCGTCTATCCCTTGTGGCTCATAGCCACTGATGGGCCCCTGCTGTGTAGGGTTATCCCGTCCCCTCTTGAAGCTGTCTCTGCCCATAGGTGCCACGATGATCTCTCCCTAGGTCAGTTGCCACCCGTTTGGACCCCATCAGGGTATATTTATAGTTAGGATTTTGGGCTCCAATGTGGATGACTTTGCACTTGCCCACGTGGAACCTCGTTTGCCACGATGACGCCCGCTCGTCTGGCCTTGACAGATCCCTCTGGAGTGCCTCCCAGTCCTCCCTGAACAACTCCGTGTCATCGGCAAAACTGGCCACTTCACGGCTCACTCCCAACTCTGAGTCATGAATGAGCACGTTAAAAAGCACCAGACCACCAGTGCCGAGTCCTGCGGCACCCCCGCTGCTTACCACGGAGAGAATTGCCCATTGAGACTCACGCTCTGTTTCCTGTTAATTAACCGGTTTCTATTCCACAAGAGGTCTTGTCCTCTTATCCTGTGACGGCCGGCTTTACTCGGGAGCCTCTGATGAGGCACTTTCCCAAGAGCTCTCAGCCTCAGGTGCCTCCCCCCCCCCCTGCTCTGCTGTTGCCTGGGAAGGCAGCCCGTGTGGGAGAAGGACCTCCCCCCCCCGGGAGCTGGGTTGTCCTTGGTTGTCCAGGGGCAGGCGGGATCTGCCCTCCCTCGCCGGCTTCCTTGTGACACTTACCGAGCAGCTGGGTGACCTTGGGCGAGTCCCAGTTCTCTCGGTGCTGCCTCACAAGGTGCCTGTTGAGGGGAGAGGAAGGGAAAGGCGACTTAACGCCGCTTTGAGACTCCTTCAGGGAGAGAAAAGGGGGGGTATAAAAACCTCCTCCTCTTCCTCCTCCTCACTCAAGCCCCCTCTCCCCCCTCCCCTTGCACCTTGCCTTGCTGCCTATGTGGTTGAGCCCTTGCCACCCCCCTTGCTCCCATGCCCGCTTTGCGTGGGCACTTAAGAACCGAAGAACATAAGAGAAGCCCATGTTGGATCAGGCCAGTGGCCCACCCAGTCTAATACTCTGTGTCACACAGTGGCCAGAAAGACCAGGGGCCATGGACTTGCCATGGACTGGCCTTTGAAGACCTGCTGTGCGCCGCCAGAGCTGGGCGGGGGGCCCCAAATGTCACCGCCCGGGTGGGGGGGGCTCTTCCCTGGGGGGGGGGGTGAGGCCTCCCGGGGCCGGCCTCCTGTTCGGAGGGTGGGCTGCGGGGCTCTCTGCGGGGCTCTGTGGGCTCTGCGTGGTTAGCACCCGGCCTTTGATTAAAGGTAACACTTTAAATTAAGGATGGCTTTCTAAATGCTCTATTAATATTTAATGGGCGCACAGCGGAAGGCGCTCCTGCCTTTAATAACTTCTAATAAAGCCGGCCGTAAAAGGGGCCTGTGATAAATCCCCGAGCAGATGATGCCCTGACGGCCCCCCCCCATCCCCAGTTCGGAGGGAGGCCATACGGAGGGAGGGGAGCGGAGAGGTTCGCTGCCCCCCAACCACTCGGCTTCTCCTCCTCCTTGGCAGGGCCCGGGGGGGGCCCTCTTGCTCCGTCCGTCCACCTGTCTGTCTGTCGCACACCCTTCCTGCCAGGAGTCCAGGCGGCACGCAGGCTGCCCCTCGCAGGCAGCACCAGGAGATCTCCGGACGGCAGAACCAGTTTGGCGTGGTGGTCAAGTGCGCAGAGGACTCTAATCTGGGAGGACCGGGGTTGATTCCCCCACTCCTCCTCTACTTGCACCTGGCTAGATGACCTTGGGCAGGCCATAGTTGTTTCTGAAAGGGCCGTTTCTGTCAGGAGCTCTCTCAGCCCCACCCGCCTCACAGGGTGTCTGTTGTGGGGAGGGGAAGGGAAAAGGAGTTCGTAAGCCGCTCTGAGACTCTGAGTGAAGGGCAGGGGGTATAAATCCAGTCTCCTCCTCCTCTTCCTCTTCTTCTGCCGTTCCCCTGGAGAACCTGGCCACTGTGGAGGGTGGGCTCTGTGGCCTGGCACCCCCCCCCCAAACCCTGCCCTCCCTGGGCTAGGCTCCGCCCCCATAACCCCCAGGGGTTTCCCAGCTCAGACTCAGGAGCCGCCTGCCCACGGCCGCCACCACCGTCCCTCCCCGAGAGCCTCCTGTCCTCATGGGGTCTGAGGACCCCGGGAAACCTTTATCCTCGGGGCTCGCCCAAGTGGGGCCTGCTGCGGGAAGCCGGAGGGTGCTCCCGCCTCAGAGGCCTCCGTGGCGTTCCTTCGCCCCGAGCTGGCTGGCTGAGTAGCCGGCCTCCTTGCTGGGCGGAAACCCTCCCTAAGGCAGCTCCCAACCCAGCAGCCAGCACAGTAGGATGGAGCCAGGAAGGCAGAAGAGGATCGATAGTAAAGCCGGCAATAGAAACAAGCAGAGACCCGGCTAGAGACAGGAAAGCAATCCCGCGTGCCAAGCGGCGGCGGCGGTTCCCGCTGGGAATCTTCTTCACGGGGGGGGGGGGAGGGAGTCTCCAGGGAGGGCCCAGGCCCAGTAAGGCCCGCCCACAGCCCACCGGCTGGCCACGCAGAGGTGGGTTCCCTCCCCCCCACCTCTCCAGCTCTGGTCTCGGACTCGCCCGGTCTGCTTGCCCGCCTCCCATTGAAGGGAGACATGCCGGCACAGAGCCGCGTAGCCTGGGTCCTGCTGGTGCCAGGGTGGCACCGGAGCATTCAGGGTCTCTCGAGTGGGGAGCCTCCAGGGGTCCGCCGTGGACTGTGGGTTCGGTTCTGCCCAGCAGCCGAGCCGAGATTTCGGACTGGGTTTGGCTCTGCCCGGCAGTGGGGGGCAAAGGCCAAGGAGACCCGGCCGGCGGGGGGGCATCATGCACCTGGCGAGCGGCTCGGCACGGCTGCTCCTTCCCGGGCCCGGAGCAGGAGGTTTAATTGCCCGTCTCAGCAGCTTAACTCGCAGAGCCCTCCTGATCATTAATGCTGTAAAAGGAGCCATAAAATCTGGCACATTCATTTTTTTTTGTAATATACGGTGGTGGAGAGCCGCTTCCTTTTCCTTTTTGACTTTGACCTGCTTTTCTCCTGCCTCGCACTCCTTGGTGGACGCGCTGTCTCAGGGGAGCGTCCCCCGGGAGGGGCCATCCGGTGCCTCTTTGCGCCCAGCCGGAGGAGGCCTTCTGCCAGCAATGGATGCCCCTGCTGTCTTCCCAGCCACCCCCTCTGCAGGGGACTCGGAGGGGCTGGGACGGGCACAGCTGGAGCCGGGCAGAGCAGAGCAGGGGGGGACGCGCGGGGCGGCCGGGGGGGGAGCCTTCTGCGGGGAAAGGGAGGGGTGGCCACGCCTGCCTGCCTGCCTGCCTGCCTCCTTTGTGGGGAAAGCAGCCTGCCTGGCCGGGGGCCTTCCTGGGGAAGGAGGGTGTATTTACCGACCTGGAGGGGGAATGAATATTTAACGACAGGAGGGACTTGGGATGCCGTTTCCTCTTCTGCAGTCTTCGGCTGCCCTTCCTCCACGCAGACCTCTGGTCCCGCCTGTCAGGATTAGGGTGATGGCAATTTACAACCACTCCCTCCCCCCATACACAGCTCCAAGCTGGGAAATTCCCGGAGATTTGGGGAAGAAGAAGAAGAAGAAGAAGAAGAAGAGATTGGATTGGATTGGGAGTCTCAGAGCAGCGGACAGACTCCTTTCCCTTCCCCTCCCCACCACAGACACCCTGTGAGGCGGGTGGGGCTGAGAGAGCTCTTGACAGAAACGGCTCTTTTTCAAGGACCACTCTTGTCAGAACTAGGGCTTGCCCAAGGTCATCCAGCCAGGTGCAAGTGGGCTTTCCTTCTTTGGAGGTTTTCAAACAGAGGCTAGACTGAATGGCAAGGGTGCACACCCGTGGGGGAGGCGCACACGCTGGGGCTCTGCCAGCTTTCCACCCTTTGGACCCGCCGCCGCATGTGGAAGGCTGTCCCTTGGCAAGGAATTCCCCATGGCCCACCATGGCTCTGGGAGCAGAGCGCTCCCCCCCCCAGAGGTCCCTC